TAAACCTACAGTAAGAGATTTAATCAGTAATAAAAAATGTCCTAACAAAGAAAAAAGTCCAAGACAAGATGATTTCACAATTGAATTCTACCAAACATATAAAGAATTAATGCCAGTCCTCACAATCTTCCAAAAAACAGAAGAGGATAAACATTTCCAAATTCATCCCATGAGGCCAGAATTACTCTGACACCAAAGCCAACCAAGACACCACAAGAAAAAAAAAAAAACACAAACCAATATCCCCAGATGCAAAAATCTTCAACAAAATACTAGCAAATTGAATGTAGCAGCATATTAAAAGGGTTATAAACTATGATCAAATGGGATATATTCCAGGGTGGCTCACCGCATGAAAGTCAATCAGTGTAACACAACACATCAACAGAACGAAGGAAAAAACCCCACATGATCATTTCAAATAACACAGAAATGGCGTTTTACAAAATCCAACACCCTTTCATGACAAAAACAATCAGTCAACAAGGCACAGAAGAGAACTTCCTGAACGTAATAAAGGACATTAATGAAAAACCCATAGCCAACATCATATACAATGGGGAAAGACTGAAAGCCTTCCCCCTATGATCAGGAACAAGACAAGGAAGGATGCCCAATTTTACTACAGCTATTCAACTATGTACTGGAAGTTATAATCAGAGCAAATAGGCAATAAAATAAAATAAAAGGCAGCCAAATTGGAAACACATTCAACATAATTGTTACAAAAATTCCACTGTCCTTTTTTGTAGGAATGGAAAAACCCATTCTAAAGTTCATATGGAATCTCAAGGGATCCCAACTACAGGCATAAATCGGAGATATTGTGAGTTCAGTTCCAGACCACAGCAAAAAAGAAATTAGAGCAATAAAGCAAGTCACACAAAATTTTTGGCTTCCCAGTGTGTAAAAATGTTAACACTATACTGTAGCCTATTAAGTGTGCAATAGCATTATGTTTTTTAAAATATTAAAATTAAAACCTTAATTTAAAATTAAGACCTTAATTTTATTGCTAAAAAATGCTGACCATCATATGACCACACAGGGTTGCCATAAACCTTAAATTTACAAATAACTGCAATATCTGTAAAAGCACAATAAAGTGAGGCATGCCTGTAATCAAAACAATCTTGGAAAAAGAAGAACAAAGTTAGAAAAGTCACACTTTCTTATTTCAAAGCCTACTACAAAGCTACCACAATCAAAACAGTGGCATAAAGACAGACATATATAGATCAATGAAATACAATAGAGAGCTCAGAGATAAACCCTTGTATTTATACGGTCAAATGTTTTTTGACAAGGGTACCAAGACCATTTAAGGAAAAAAGGACAGTCTTTTCAACAAATGGTGCTGGGAAAACTGGATAACTACATGCAAAAGAATGAAGTTGGACTCTTATCTTACACTATATACAAAAATTAACTCAAAAGAATGGAAAGCAATGACTCCAACAGACATTTGTATATCAATGACCAGAGAAGCATTACTCACAATAGCTAAAAGGACAAGCATTCTGAGTATCAGTCAATAGATGAATGGATTAAAAAAAAAAGTGGTATATACATACATGGAATATTATTCAGCCTGAAAATGGAATGAAATTCTGATGCATACTATGACATGGATGAACCTTGAAGACATGCTAAGTGAAATGTCAATCTCAAAAAGACAAAGATTGTGTGAATCTACTTATTTGAGGTAGCCAGAACAGTCAAATTCATAGAGAAAAAAGGTAGAATAGTGGTTACTGGGGGGTTGGGGTAAGGGGAGAATGGAGACATATGGTTCATGTGTTACAGAGATTAAATTTGGGGTGATGAAAAACTTCTGGAGATGGTTGGTGGTGTGATTACACAGCAATCTGAAGGTGCTTAATGCTACTGAACTGGGCACTTAAAAATGATTAAAATGGTAAATTTTATGATATATATCCTTGAAAATAAAGAGATACTCTTTCTTAAAGTTTATTTGTTAAAAAAGAACCCAATATAATGCTGAGGAAGTCTAAACTCCTAAGCCCCTAAAACTGGCTAGCTCCTAAATTCTTTATCTATGAAGCCTACACTGATGATCTCTCTCATGAGAATGTAAAATTCTAAGAGAGGACACCAGACTCAGTGGAACCACAGAACCTAAACTAGTATATATGTACATATAATTAATTGTGTTTGTTTTTAACTAAACTGAGAACTCACCACATGATCTGACAGTTACCACTGTTACCATCTTAAGTGTCACCCATCAGCTAAAGGTGGATTAAGTAGTACTGGTAATATCTTAGCTGAAGTGAGATCATGAATGGCAAAGTGTTTTACAAGTAACCACATATTATATTTAACACAGTATTATTTATTATGTTATTATATGTAATAATTGTTATCATTTTGTTTTTCCTAAAATTTAACTGCCAAAAAGTGTCAATTCCCTACGTTTCTAGTCTGTATAATACTGAATAGTGGAAATCTTTAAATGATACATGGCATTTCACAAGATCAAAGATGCTAGAGTCAAACAGACTTAACCTGAGTCCTGACATTGTCATTTGCTAGCAGTATGACCTCTAGCAAGCCATTTAGGTCTTTTCATTTCTTTTATCTTTAATCGCCTGTCATTTCTTTAATTCTATCCCAAATGCGTGGAAAAAATAATTTTACAATCTTAATACTTTGTGTCTCTAAATTAAGAGTAAATAAGATCAGGAAGCTCATGGAAATTCTGCCCAAAAAATCAAGCTATTTTGTACCCTGCTCCCACACAGCCAAGGAACAGATGGTGAAGACTGCCATTATAACTTGCAGACATATAAGTGGTAAAACTACCAAAAGAACTATTATTTGCAAAACAGTAAGAAATTTTGCCAAAGAATATTGAAGAGGCAAAAAAAATTAAAAAGAATTATAACTGTTATATAATTTTTTAAAACTTGGCAGGTCAGAGAGTTCAGTTCAGAATAAAAGTATTCTTGGTATTTTAGGGGTGGGAAGTAAAGAAGGGTAGGAAGAAGGAAAGGGAAGAAGAGAACAATAAGTTCTACAGACTGACTTTTCTTTCTTTTTTTACAGTAAGCACAAAATAGGAGCTATCAGGATTAGAAAAAGCTCTCGAAATTTTAAGTACGTTAACTCTAAGCAGACTGTAGCAAAACCATAGATAACAATATAGATCTTAAAAAGATACAGAAATGATAACAATACTACTAATAAAACTACTTATTTATAGAAATTCTTTAAATATAAAGTTCATTTGACTTAAATCAATGACTTAATTCATTTTACTTACTTTTTCCATAAACATAAACAGTTATATTAAGGAGGTATAACAATATCAAAAATGCCACTGATTTGGATGCCACAGTTCCACTAGACTATGAGCTCCACAAGGTAAAGAACTTTTGCTGGTTTGTTTTCCTAATGTCTGAAATAGAGTATTGCTCAGTATATAGTAGGTGTTCAATAATGTTTGCTGACTAGGTTGCCTCCTCTCCTAATTAATATCAATTTTCAATACACATATGTCTTCCCTACTTTTTTAGAATGATTTATCGTATGGCTATTCTGTAGTTGTTTATGCATTGCTTTACTCTGAAAAAAGAAGCGACAGAAAAGATACTCGGTATTTTCTTCAGTCCTCTTTTAAATTTTCCTCAATTTACAATCATATCTGTATGTTTTCAGCCTTCTGAAACTTTACTAAAAGCATAACTCGAATAAAAACATAATTTTTCAATGCAATCATCTCACTCTACTCATCTCTGTCTTGCAACAGTTTCTCTTGAAATGTGAAGACAATAATCATGTCACATTTACTTATGAGGAAGAGGAAGTTTCTCATTTTCCAGTGTATACCTAACTGTTAATAAATTCTCCCACAGTGAGCCTGCTCCTGTAGCTTCTCCAGATAGCAGGTCATTCAGTGTCATTCTCTGTAGCAGTGTAATTTCTTAATTTCCAGAATTTCTTATTTACCCTTTTCCCTTCTTAGTCAATTTTATAGCTTAGTAGAATGTATGTACTGTACCTGAAGACCATATAATAGTTTCTTTTAAAATATTTAACAAGGATACTTCACTAATATAGGCAAAGCTACAGGATCTATTTCTTCAAAATTAGAAAGATTTTTCTCCCCTGAAGGAATCATCTCACGCAATCTCAACTAGATAGGCAGATCTTAAGAGGAATAACTAATTTGTATCTGTTTCTAAAACAGCTGAGTTCATTTTATTACGATCATTGCTGTTGCTACAGCAGGAAGTTAGGGGCTGGTATACACTATCCTTCCTCTGCTAAGTGAAAAGGGAAACAATTCCTGAGACTTCAGCAAGGGAAAGATGAATTCTTGGCCTCCCAAATACACAAAGATTGTGGGAACCTTTGGTGCCATTATGACTTTGATTCAACTACGTTAAGCAAAGTTTTCTGCGAATCATCGTAATTTTAACTCTTTTTAAAATAGGGAATATTCTAAACTGACTGAAAATTAACTTTTTGCACACTACAATTTTTTATTTCTGGATTTCAAGCTGCAAGTCTGATTGAACCAAGCGTACCATAATTTCTTATAACCTCACACAAATTAAACTGCAATAGAACCTCCTTATATTTTAGGTTTTAGTAAAAACAAGAGAATAACTTTTTTTCACAAGAAATATTACCTCTTAATTATTGACTTCCTCTACAAAGAGATACTAAAATCTAAACAGACAGCAATCAACAAAGATCAAATATCACATTATGCCTGCTGAGCCCAACTCCATTACATGTACATAATACTTCATCTTGATATACTGAATGGGACATCAGAGAAGGAGCAGTATAATTTTCCTAATATTATCAAATATTCTCTCTTTAACTAGGTTAGGACAATACTTATATAATATTTGTATAGTCTGGATTTTCATCAGATATATACATATGTTAGGAAGGCAGTTCCAAAAGACTATTTACCACAACTACTTTCAAATAGTCACTGTAATGTGCAAGAGAAAATAACTTACTGTCGCGGAGTGTTTCCCAAGCCCACTGATCATTTTTGAAGAAGAGATGTCGTTTGATTTCTTCTACACCATTGCGCCCTAATCTCACCTCTCTGAAAAGAAAGAGAAGGAGAAAACTCATTAATCATTTAAGATATTATATTGACACTATAACCTGTTCATATTTATTTGTGGGCATAATGCTAAATCTGTGCAGGATGTTAAATACGATTTTATGTCACCTTGAAATTATATTGTCAGCATAATTCTTTAATACTGAGAGTATTAAAGAATTTTTTCTAAAGAAAAAATACACACAAAAAACAGATTTATTGATACTCCATGGCTTTTCTACTGACAACAAATATCCATCACCTTGCTTCATTACCAAAATTAATTTTCTTCATAGGTTTTTTAATAGTGGTAAAGTTAATACATTTTTGAACTAACAACTTCACACCAGGAGCTAACAAAAACTCCAAAAGATGTTCTAAATATAAAATTTCCATTTTATTCTCTATTAAATATTTCTGACCAACCAACAAAAAACCAATGACAACTAATTCTTGACCCTACAACAAAACTGAGAGCTTTAATGGGACAAGCTACTGATCCTTGGCCTCTTCAATAGGCATAGAAAAAAAGCATTTTAAAATGCGCTGTTAGCTGAATTGCAAAGGGGAACTTGGCACCTTTTGTTTTAGTAGAGTACTTATAAACAACAAAAATCCCAATTCTTTTCATGAGTTGAAAGATAAACTGCTTTAATCAAAGAGGAAATCAAAAAATATCTAAAAACAAATGACAATGAAAACACAACGACCCAAAACCTATGGGATGCAGCAAAAGCAGTTCTAAGAGGGAAGTTTCTAGCAATACAATCCTACCTCAAGAAACAAAAAACATCTCAAATAAACAACCTAAACTTACACCTAAAGCAATGAGAGAAAGAAGAACAAGAAAACCCCAAAGTTAGCAGAAGGAAAGAAATCATAAAGATCAGATGAGAAATAAATGAAAAAGAAATGAAGGAAACAATAGCAAAGATCAATAAAACTAAAAGCAGGTTCTTTGAGAAGATAAACAAAATTGATAAACCATTAGCCAGACTCATCAAGAAAAAAAGGGAGAAGACTCAAATCAATAGAATTAGATATGAAAAAGGAGAAGTAACAACTGACACTGCAGAAATCCAAAGGATCATGAGAGATTACTACAAGCAACTATATGCCAATAAAATGGAAAACCTGGAAAAAATGGACAAATTCTTAGAAAACCATCTTAGCACAACCTTCCGAAGCTGAACCAGGAAGAAACAGAAAATATAAACAGACCAATCACAAGCACTGAAAATTGAAACTGTGATTAAAAATCTTCCAACAAACAAAAGCCCAGGACCAGATGGCTTCACAGGCGAATTCTATCAAACATTTAGAGAAAAGCTAACACCTATCCTTCTCAAACTCTTCCAAAATATAGCAGAGGGAGGAACACTCCCAAACTCATTCTAAGAGGCCACCATCACCGTGATAACAAAATCAGACAATGTCACAAAAAAAGAAAACTACTGGCCAATATCACTGATGAACATAGATGCAAAAATCCTCAACAAAATACTAGCAAACAGAATCCAACAGCACATTAAAAGGATCATACAGCATGATCATGTGGGGTTTATCCCAGGAATGCAAGGATTCTTCAATATACGCAAACCAGTCAATGTGATAAACCTATTTACAAATTGAAGGAGAAAAACCATATGATCATCTCAATAGGTGCAGAAAAAGCTTTTGACAAAATTCAATACCCATTTATGATAAAAACCCTCCAGAAAGTAGGCATAGAGGGAACTTATCTCAACATAATAAAGGCCATATATAACAAACCCACAGCCAACATCATTCTCAATGGTGAAAAACTGAAACCATTTCCACTAGATCAGGAACAAGACAGGGTTGCCCACTCTCACCACTATTATTCTACATAGTTTTGGAAGTTTTGGCCACAGCAATCAGAGAAGAAAAAGAAATAAAAGGAATCTAAATCGGAAAAGAAAAAGTAAAACTGTCACTGTTTGCAGATGACATGATACTATACACAGAGAATCCTAAAGATACTACCAGAAAACTAGTAGAACTAATCAATGAATTTGGTAAAGTAGCAAGATACAAAATTAATGCACAGAATACATTAATTAATGCACATTAATGCATTCCTATACACTAATAATGAAAATTCTGAAAGAGAAATTAAGGAAACACTCCCATTTACCATTGCAACAAAAAGAACAAAATACCTAGGAATAAACCTACCTAAGGAGAGAGAAGAACTGTATGCAGAAAACTATAAGACACTGATGAAAGAAAGTATAGATGATACAAACAGATGGAGAGATATACCATGTTCTTGGATTGGAAGAATCAACACTGTGAAAATGACTATACTACCCAAAGCAATCTACAGATTCAGTGCAAGCCCTATGAAACTACCAATGGCATTTTTCACAGAACCAGAACAAAAAATTTCACAATTTGTATGGAAACACAAAAGACCCCAAACAGCCAAAGCAATCTTGAGAAAGAAAAACAGAGCTGGAGTAATCAGGTGCCTGGACTTCAGACTAAACTACAAAGCTACAGTAATCAAGACAGTATGGTACTGGCACAAAAACAGAAATACAGATCAATGGAAGAGGATAGAAAGCCCAGAGATAAACCCACGCACATATGGTCACCTTATTTTTGATAAAGGAGGAAAGAATATACAATGGAGAAAAGACAGCCTCTTCAATAGGTGGTGCTGGGAAAACTGGACAGCTACATGTAAAAGAATGAAATTAGAACACTCCTTAACACCATACACAAAAATAAACTCAAAATGGATTAAAGACCTAAGTGTAAGGCCAGACACTATAAAACTCTTTGAGTAAAACATAGGTAGAACACTCTATGACATAAATCACAGCAAGATCCTTTTTGACCCACCACCTAGAGAAATGGAAATGAAAACAAAAATAAACAAATAGGACCTAATGAAACTTAAAAGCTTTTGCACAGCAAAAGAAAACATAAACAAGATGAAAAGACAACCCTCAGAATGGAAGAAAATATTTGTAAACGAAGCCACTGACAAAGAATTAATCTCCAAAATATACAAGCAGCTCATGTAGCTCAATATCAAAAAAAAAAAAAAATCAACCCAATCCAAAAATAGGCAGAACACCTAAATAGACATTTCTCCAAAGAAGGTATACAGACTGCCAACAAACACATGAAAGGATGCTCAACATCACTAATCACTAGAGAAATGCAAATCAAAACTACAATGAGGTATCACCTCACACCAGTCAGAATGGCCATCATCAAAAAGTCTACAAACAATAAATGCTGGAGAGTGTATGGAGAAAAGGGAACCCTCTTGCACTGTTGGTGGGAATGTAACCTGATACAGCCACTATGGAGAACAGTATAGAGGTTCCTTAAAAAACTAAAAATAGAACTACCATATGACCCAACAATCCCACTACTGGGCATATACCCTGAGAAAACCATAATTCAAAAAGAGTCATGTACCACAACGTTCACTGCAGCTCTATTTACAATAGATAGGACATGGAAGCAACCTAATTGTCCGCTGACAGGTGAATGGATAAAGAAGATGTGACACATATATACAATAGAATATTACTCAGCCATAAAAAGAAACAAAATCGAGTTATTTGTAGTGAGGTGGATGGACCTAGAGTCTATCATACAGAGTGAAGTTAAGTCAGAAAGAGAAAAACAAATATCATATGCTAACACATATATAAGGAATCTAAAAGAAAAAAATGGTTCTGAAGAACCTAGGGGCAGGACAGGAATAAAAACGCAGACATAGAGAATGGACTTGAGGACGTGGGGCGGGGGAAGGGTAAGCTGGGACAAAGTGAGAGAGTGGCATGTATATATATACACTACCAAATGTAAAACACAGCTAGTGGGAAGCAGCTGCATAGCATAGGGAGATCAGCTGGGTGCTTTGTGACCACCTAGAGGGGTGGGATAGGGAGGATGGGAGGAGATGCAAGACGGAGGAGATATGGGGATATATGTATATGTATAGCTGATTCACTTTGTTATAAAGCAGAAACTAACACACCATTGTAAAGCAATTATACTTCAATAAAGATGATAAAAAAATTAAAAAAATAAAAATTGTGATACCATAAAAAAAAATAAGATAAACTACTTTAGATATAATGAGACACTTTTAAAGAAGCTTTCACTGACTCTCTCACACTGGCTTAAGGATACTCTCCATGGTTCTATGGTACATGATACTTAAGAGTACTTACCTCTCTGTACAATAAATACCTCATTTGCCTGTCTGTTTCCCCCAAAGGACTATGAGGTAGTGGAGAACAGTGGCTGTGTATCTTGGTCATTTCTATACCTCTAGCATAGTTTTCATATTATAATATATTTATACAGTGCTTATATTAAAATGTAAAAATTTCAAAAACTATGTTTCAGGCTATAAAGGACATACTGAAGGAGGATAAGTTAATTTTAATTAAAGTGAATCCAAAATTGAAACATATTTAAATTTAAAGCCTCTCTACTATTTAAATTAACAATATATAACCTTAAATCCTAAATGTAATCTTAGTAAGCCATCTGGTTCCTGTTTAATTTTAAAAGTAAACCACAAGAGTATACACATAATATGCCATTTTTGTTTCTAAAACACTTATGTACATTTACATTTATAAAAAATGCTTGTTGAAACTGGAAGACCATGTCAATGAAGGAAGGAGGTAGAAAATACTACATACTTTTTTTTATAGATTTGCACTATCTACTTAATTTCAAAAAGCATATATAATTAAATCTTTTTCCCAGCTTTATTGAGGTATAATTGGCAAATAAAATTTTAAGGTATTTAGTTTACAATGTTACAATTTGATATTCATACATATACACTGTGAAAGGAGTCCCCCAACAAGCTAATTAACACATCAATCATTTCAAATATTTAACTTTTCTTTTTCTGGTGTGGGGGGGCAAGAACATTTAAATGTTGTCTCTTCACAAATTTCAATTATACAATACAGTGTCATCTTAAATGGCATCAACTTGAAGATGCATCAACATTTTTCTATCACCAGGAAAAAAATGTCCCAGTTAAATTACTACATGCCATTGATTTTAAGATGCACTCTAATTTTAGAGATTTTAACACGTTAAAAAAAAAACTCAGGGAATTCCCTGGCAGTCCAATGGTTAGGACTTGGTGCTTTCACTGCCAGGGTCCAGGTTCAATCCCTGGTCAGGGAACTAAGATCCCACAAGCCGCACAGCATGGGCAAAAGGAAAAAAAAAATCAGACTCAATAAAATATACTACCATCTTTATACTTAACTAAGTTAAAAATGTTAACAATGAAAAAAATAATCATCTTGTCTAGTCATCAGCAAAGAATCTATTACTATCCTAATTTCTTAGGTAAGGTAAGTGAGTTGAGATACAGAAAAGCCATCCAGAAAAATCAGAAAAATTATATCAGGTTTCACTGGCATGAACGATTTGGGGAATGGTAGTTTTTATTCTAATAGTTCAAATATAGGAGTTCAGATACAGACCTTAAAAACTGAGCAGCAAAATGAAAATTTCCTTGGAATAAGTGTTCCATGTTAAAATTATTTACCTGTCAGTAAGGAAGGCACAAATAAGATTTTTTGCTTCTTTTGATATGTCATTATCATCAGGGAAGGTAAGTGAATTTTTATGGTTCATAATCTTACTGTAAGTTCCAACCAGAGAATCTGCATAAAATGGTGTATCACCTGATAAATTGACAGGGAAAACAAAAGCAAATTAAGATACATTGAAAGAAATCAGTTTCAAAGGAAAAGAGTCACTGTTACTGTTTAAAGATAATTAACTATGCATAAACTAAAAATATACACCAAATACATAAAAAGAAGTAACACATCAAGTTTCTCTAAGTCTCTAAATAGCTTGTCAAAACTGACACAGTAGGTTTGGATCAGTTTGTTTCCTACAAACAAAATCAACACTGCTTAATGTAATATTTTATTAGAAGAAGCCAAGTCTAAGTTTGGAGATGAACAACTATGTTAGAGGTACATAAAATGCTCCTTTACTCACCTACAAGCATTTCATATAAAAATACCCCAACTGACCACCAGTCACATTCTCGTCCATAATAACCATCACCACCTTGAGATTTTAATACTTCAGGGGAAATATAATCAGGTGTCCCAACTGCTGTATCACATCGTACCATACCTTCCTAAAAAGAGGTCAAATTTTCAATTAGGATATAAATGTAAAGTCTCAATTATTTAACATGAGTTTTTCTTAATGTAACATGTAGAACTCTTAAGTCTTTGTGTTATGAAAGATCACATCAAAACCTAATGCAGACTTGATAAAAAGTAACAAACAGCTTAATCACATATACATATTATATACATAATATATTCATAATGTATGTGTGTATGTGTATATGGTTATAGCAGTGATTTTTTATTTTGTAATAACACTCACTAGAAAGACACATTGCCACCATTTATTATTCCTCCAGTTGTACCAATATGATGATCTCATCTTAATTGCAGAGAACAAGTATATAAGTCAATGCAAATATGTTGAGGAACCGACAGAATGAATCACTTGATAACATCAATATATAAATGCTGATTTAATTGTTTTTTTACTAAAATAGTCATTCACTTTAACTATTCTTGAAACTGAGGGAAAAAAACATGTAAGAATTGACTGTACAAATATAAAATGGGGAAGCATGTGCATGGGAAAAGGGAATAATAGTGTTAAGCCCACTGATAACTACCGAATATGCATTTTAACCCTCTCTCCAAAATAAAAACAAAAACTATATATATATCAGTTACTTACTTTAGCTGGTGTGAATGCAACAGAATTATACATGATTACACAAAAGTTCTCACACAGTGTTCTCCTCCTAACCCATAAATTTCCTTTGGAAATAATAAACACAACTTTCTGGTTATTTTTCTATGATAAGTTTCAAAGAATATAAATGTTTCAACTGAAAATAAAGCAGCATACTTGCTACTTCAGCTATGTATATGTTATTTATTATATAAATAGTGAGCATGGGTACCTTTTACGATTGACTCCCCAAATAAGTAGTAAGATCTTTTCATGTTTAGTAGAAGGCCAAGTAAAACATTAAAAAATATACATATTACTGAAATCCAGTTTTTATGAAAGTCTCATTTTAACAGTGGCATTGGTATTTAGTGACATTTAAGCTAATCTCATTTCTAGCTACCAATAGTGGACATTACAGATTTGCTTTAAAAGATTTAGTAAATCTGGCAATCCACGCTTCCCCCAAATAGAGAGGGGAAAAAATAAAGCACTTACAAGTTACTAACACAACACTGAAACCATGGCATCTAGTTCAACAAATAAGACTGGGCACATCAATTCTGTACAAGTCCAGATATGGTTAGTAAATTCTTAAAACATTGGGAGAGGGAAGGGTAAGCTGGGACAAAGTGAGAGTAACATGGACATATATACACTATCAAATGTAAAATAGCTAGTGGGAAGCAGCTGCATAGCACAGGAAGATCAGCTTGGTGCTTTGTGACCATCTAGAGGGGTGGGATAGGGAGGATTGGAGGGAGATGTAAGAGGGAGGAGATATGGGGATATATGTATATGTATAGCTGATTCACTCTGTTATGAAGCAGAAACACACCATTGTAAAGCAATTATACTTCAATAAAGATGTTAAAAAAAACATTTTGTAAAAAGCATCTATCTTGAATTAGCAAAACTAAATTAAAATCTAATTATTTAACCTTATTCATCTTCATACAAGTACCAAAATCTGCTAACTTCAAATGTCCAGATTTATCCAGCAGCATGTTATCAGGCTTCACATCTCTGAGGGGGGAAAAAGAAAGTACAGTATCTCTGAAACAGATCAGAAACTGATAAAAATTATATGAGGCAGTGATTTTAGGTCATATATCCTCAATTTAGGATAAGGTCACCTTTGATCTATATGTGCTCTCTATCCACATCTATAAGCTGACTTCATCAGGGAGACTCTCTCATATATTATGCCTCAGAAGAAGACATTCTTTTAAGTAGAGTTTGATTCTTCCAAGAGGAAAATCAAGTCATTTGAGAGAGAATAACCATAAAAAATGTAACATTCAAACATAAAAAGTAACTGAAACACACAAGATAGATAAATACATAAATAACCCCAGAAGAGGGTCTAAATCACTTTCATTTTTGCATCCCTGGCACTGAGCACAGCAATTGCACATAGAATTCAAGTGGTGTTTGCAGAACAGATGAAATTATTCTTCTAGCAAATAAATTTGATCTGTTCACTAATTAAAAGCAAATTAATTTGTATATAAAAATTAAAAGCATTTAATACCCCAGAATATACCTTAAAAAAGCAGCTTATAATTTTTACTTTTCAGGACACCATATAAAAGCCTTATAATCAGAATAAGAAATATTAAAGAATACATTTATATCAATGCTAAACTGAAATGTTAAAACCACAAATTTCAAAGTTTTAAATTCTGAAACACCACTCATGTCATATGCGAGAATAGGTGGATTTAGAATGGGAAATGCTAATAAAATGAAGTTTAAGTACTGATTTTTAGCTTCTCTCTTTAACAAATGAGAAAATTTAAAGCATTTTTGTCCTTACCTATGAATAAAACCCATGGAATGGATTGCATCCAATGCAAGAACTACTTCTGCAGTATAAAATCGGGCCCATTTTTCAGGCACATCATAGTTGCTCATTAAGTTTACAAGATCTCCACCAGGCATGTATTCCATTACCATGTAGAGATAACGATCATCTTGGAATGCATAAAATAGCTACACATATACAAAAAAAACAAAGAAACAAATTCATTAAGATTAAGCAAAACTGTTTCATTTAAGAATTGTCAAAAATACTAATATAAGATTTAACTGAAATAATCAAATTGCAGTAGTTGTAAGTACTCCTAAAAAAAAGGAAACAAATACAAAGATAAATAGCACAAAAAACTTTGCGTATGCAGAGGAGTTATTAACTGTGGTTACTTCTGAGGAGTCAGAGACTTCTTTTCTCTACCCTTTTCTATATTAATTGAATTTCTTATACTGAGAATTTTTAAAAATTATAATAGTTTCAATAAAGAATATACAACTCTTTTAAGCAAAGACATATTGTAGTTCTAATTTAAATTGTGCATAGTGGGGTTTAGTGTTAAATTTATATCAACACCACAATTTTCAAGTAATCTAATAAAATTAGGCTACAGTCTTAGTTGTCCCTTATTAGCTGTGTGACTAGGCAATTTACTTAACTTCCCAAATTATCTGTGACTATGATCCTTTCTAGAAGAATATATGGGAAAAAAAAAAAGAATATATGGGACTATATATCATGTTTGACTTTTATACTTGCTGCCCAGTTTGTGTCTGGATGCCTGGCAGTTGGCAAGTACTTAATGAATGTTCAACGAATAAAAGCACAAATTTAATCTATAAATTGAGGGTGTAGCTAATAGGGATTAACTGCCTATCAGAGTTGTTAAAAAGATTAGCGAATAGAGAAAAAGCCCTTAGTACAAGAGATGCTCAGTAAACAGTTGCAGTCAGTAGGAGGAGTCGCAGTAACAGCTAACAGAGAAACAGGAAGAGGGCAAGAGTCAAAGCAAGAAGAGTAAGGTCCATTGATATGAAATTGGCAACAATACCAGGCATAAATATATTATGTGACCAGTGTTGAAGTTAAAAGAAGAGCAAATTTACAAAAGAAAATTTCTTTTTTTTTTGGCCGCAATACGTGGCTTGTGGGATCTTAGTTCCCCGACCAGGGACTGAACCCATGGCAGTGAAAGCACAAAGTCCTAACCACTGGACTGCCAGGGAATTCCCTACAAAAGAACATTTTAAGTAAACATGAGAAGATTAGAATAGAACTAAAATAAATGAAATAAGCCCTTAGAGAAAAAGTATAACTAATTTACCTAGGCACTTACGTCAAAATTCTTTTTATATTTCATTTTTTTCAACAGCATTTAATGATTTTAGTTACAGATTTAGTAACTTTAATTAAATATAAATATTTGGGTGAAGGATAAGAAACTAAGTGGTATCTCATGGCTATCCCAGATTAACATGTACAGTATATCACTCAGACACCATAATTAAAGAAACACTGTTGATTTGGTGGCAGTTTACCCTATTTAAAATGTATCAAGAAAAATAAAGCTTCAAGTTCATAAGTTGTAAATTTAACCTTAAACATTTATGTCACATTTTTTAACTTGTTACACAACACTGAACACTCCCCATTATCAGTGGTTCTCAATCAGAGATGATAACTGCCGGTGTCCCACAGCTCCCACTCGCCCACTCTCCCCAACACGCCACCCAGGGAGATGTTCAACAATGTCTGCACACAGTTTTGGTTGTTACACCTTGTGTGTGGGGTGGGGAGGGCTGCTACTGGCATCACCTGGGTAGAAGTCAGGGATGCTGTTAAAAACCCACAGGATAGCCCCCAATCAACAAAGAATCACTTGGCCCAAAATGTCAGTAACACTGAGCCTGAGACACCCTGCTCTAAACAGCTGATAAAAACAGGGCAGACATTTCAAGTATAAAAAGTCTTATTATGCAAATCTTAAACATCTTCCATATCCTTTTTATCCCAATTACTATTATGCTTATTTAAGACAGTCTTAATTACATAGTGTAAATTTTAAAAAACTACAAAATTCATGCTAGGAATTTAGAAATGATCTAGCTCAGTAGTTTTAATATTTTTTAAAAAAACCCACAAGACCTCATTTCCCCCATATGAAATCTTAATAAGAACCCCAATATATAAGACATATAAAACATGCAGCTGCTCTAGTTGAAGCAGAAATAGAAAACCCAGAATTATAATCTACCCAAACAACTGCTTGCTCCCATGACTCCATCTGAGGTATCTCCTCAATTGAAAATAACCAATCTAAGCCACCTTTCACATTTTTGAGCAAGGAGACTGAGGCCCAGAGATGTAAATAACCCGGCCACAGCTTCAGGTCAAGATTAGTACCTACGATTACTGACTTTCTAATGTATTTTTCTTTCCACTGAAAAACCTGAAGCCAATACAATATTATTTGGAGGCCTAGCTTAACTTTTTTCCCTCCATTTCTCCCATTCTCTCCACTCTACTCCCATTCTTTCCCTCCATTTCTCCCACTCTCTCCACTCCAGAGACAAATAGTTACTTTCCTCCTAGAGATGATTCAATAAAATTAAATTTTATGATTTAAAAAATAATATATTAGACACTTTTGTAATTGCCAATAAATTCTCTATTACTGTTCTAAAAAACAAAGCTTCTCAGACATGTTAAGTTACAAACTACTAGAGCAACAATGAAACAATAACAAAAGCATACCTGAACAACCCAAGGGCTGTTAGCAAAAGCCATGATGTCCCTTTCTTCCCAGAAAAAAGCAGAATCGGATCTCTTAATCATTTCAAATTTGCTGAGCAGCTTCATAGCATATACCTTCCTGGTGGATTTATGCCTTACCTTTAAAATTGAAAATGGAAAATAATGAACATTTCATTAACATTTAAAGATCAGTGTTTCCCAGAACAATTTACTAAATAATTTAACATTATTGGTCTTGCTATTTTAACTTCTTCTCTTCTGAATTATCCCAATTAGATAATGTCAAGGCTTTAACTACCAGATGTAAGTAATGTTAGAAAAAAATCTTTATTCCTTATATTATGGCACACATCCCCCTCCTCCACCCTGCTAGTTATGCTACTTCCTGTTTATAAAACTTAACTATTGCACAGCATTTTAGATAGTGTAATATTAGGGGTAAAGATTTCTCTTTTGATGCTTGAAAACTCTTCTCTACCCATGAATTCTTGGGGAAAATATTTCACACTACTGCTGAATTAGACTCTAGGCTTTCATAACCTTAGGCAAGAATGTCTAGAGCAATTTAAAGCAAGAATTTTATAAAAACAATACTTTCCCAAACAACATATGTTAAACACACAAGTGGATTTTTTAATTTTAAAAAGATTGTTGTTTTAACCTCATTAAAATAACCTACCAATTGAACTTCTCCAAATGCACCTCTACCAATCACCTTCACTACTTCATAATCTTCAGCTTTCATTCGTAAATCTCTAATTTTATTTATGGTGTCTTTATCTGTATGAAAAGAAAAGTTTATAATTTTAAATCCCTGAAGCATTATAACTAAAACTGCTTATTTTACATTCAAGTTCTTGAGAAACAATAAAAAACAAAGATGTTCATTAAAAATTATTTAATATAAGTAAAATATGAAGTTGTAAAACAGAGAAATGTTCAATGTGCTAAGAATTGTTTTTAATAAATTCTGGAATGACTTCACTCTGTTAAAATATTTTTCTTAAAATCTGACTTACTAGAATGTTTAAAAAAAAACCAAATATTATACTACATGTACACTGAGAATAATTAGTTAATTAGTTCCTGGTATTTTAAGTATATATCAAATTTGAATCAAGGGGCCACAGGTAGATATTTTAGATTAATGAAACAAGTTTTCTTTTTATCAAGTCAGTTTTGATGATCCTTTTAAAAAGATATAACTAATTTAAGATATCAAAGGTAAACATGCTAAAGAATCACGTACTTATTATATTTCTCTACTTGAATGCAGATTTTAACTTAAAACACACAGTGAGAATCACTACAATTATTTATATAAACCTGTCACACTACAAACTACAATAATTTAAAATCCCCACTGGATAGATATTCTAATTCCTAATTTGGTCATAGATTAAAATAGGGCTATTTTAATCCACATGGGTCAACACTGGCATGAGATTACATGGAAAAGCTTCACAGCAGAGTTATACAAAATACAGGGCAGCTATTAAATTTAAGTTCTAGTTCCTGATAAAAGCTACATATAGTATCTTATCTTTCTTCTGAAATGCACATTTAAACTCATGTTTGTATACATTATGACCCATAAACACATGCAACAGAGAGCAAACTTTCACGCAGGGATAACATAAGTACATTTAATTTTATATCACATATCTATTGCAAATGTAACAGCAAGATGTAAACAATAATCAATTTACTGCAGAAACATCTGTGTTAACTATAGAGGCTCTACAGTAATCACTGTAGATACATAAACATAACTTTAAAACACAGTGTCTGCTCTTATGGATTTCAAATGAAACTGAAACAAACAAAAAATAATACCAAAAAATGCAAAAAGGGAAATAAGCACAAGCACAGAGTTTGTGGAATATAAAGGATGACACCTAACCCAAGGCTGCCTAGGAGGGAGGTGGCTAGAAAAGGCTTTCTGGAGGTGAAGAAACCTGAAACAAGTCTAAAAAGAAAGCAGCTAGCTAGCTGGGAAGACGAAAAGAGAGAATATAACAGGCAGATGGGCAAAGGCACAGCAGAACTGTTCTGTGTCGCTGGAGTATCAAGTCTGTGGGAAGGATGTGAAGGAGAGGCTGGAGAGCCCCAAACTAGTTAAGGAGCTTGAACTTTACCTGTAGGCCAGTAGTTGTAAAATTATTATTTAATCAACAAAAATATTTTTCACATTAACGTTTAAAAGCAGTACAATGTGAAAATAGATAAAAGTGCTCTGCTTCAAGAGGGTAGTGGTGGTGGGTGTCGTCAGAGAGGGGCTGGAGCCTCGTCTACTTTGTACACCTCCATAATGCAGCCCCATAGAGTCCTGTGGGATCTGACGGGAACTGAGAACCACCTGAAAACCACTACTATGTGTTGGAAGCCATGATAAGAAATAAGGCATATAAACAACAAAGTCAAATTTACATTTCAGCTGCACTACTCCAGGGAATATGTAAATGATAAATTCAATAAGGGCAAGACTGGAGCGGGGGTAGAACTTTAAGAGTACTGTAATACTCCAGACACGAAATAAGAAAGTTCTGAACCAGGATAATGTGTTATATAATAGCCTATGGGGTTGAGAAAGGATCCCTGGCTCTGGTTATACCAGATTTAGAGCCATAAATAGGCTATAAAGTCTGTAGTTTTGGGCTCAGAAAATATATCTGCTGCAAATGTGTGTGGAAATGGAGATCTTGCTTCTTATTTTAATTTCTGACAGCACAGGAAGTTACAAAGCAGCTCGACGTTACTTGTGATTCGAACATTAGTTGTCAAAATGACTTTATTACATTTAAGTTTTGCATTAAAAGTGCTGTTTTGCCTTGTAATTTTAGGTTAAATCAAAAACTAATTTCCAAAGTCAGTGTTCAATGATAATTCAATGATAGTTGAGAGTGGTTCTTCTCATTAAGAAAAATCTTCATCATGGTCCTTGTCTTAATGAGCTCATCCTGCCATGCAAAATACCATAGACTGGGTGGCTTAAACAGACATTCATTTTCTCATGGTTCTAGAGGCTCAAAGTCTACGACTGGGGCCAGCCTGTTCTGCTTCTGGTGAGATCTCTCTTCCTGGCTAGTTGGCAGCCAGCATCTCTCTGTGTGCTCACACGACCTCTTATGTGTTGCACAGGTAAGGACACTAATCCCATTTTATCACAGTCCCGCCTTTATGACCTCATTTAACCTTAACTGCCTCTTGCTTGGCCCTATCTCCAAATACAGTTATATTGGGGGGTTAGGGATTCAATGATGGGTTTGGGGTTGGGGAACACAATATAGTCCACAAAAATCACAAATGTCACCACTGCTAAGCCATTGACTTGCTATATGCAAAGATAAACTGGGATATTCAGCTTCAATTTCTGTCAAAAATGTACAGAATTGATAACAGTTAAGTCCATGAGAGTGAATGATGTTTACCACTGATCCTGTGGTTCAGTAACAAGATAGACTCAAATATTTTCCACAAAGTACTTGCTGATGTATAATACAATGAATAACTACAGGCTTTGAACACCTTGTATTGTCATAAACTTTGTTATTTTGTTCAACTAACATTTTCTGCACCATACGTAATTTTAACTACCATCACCTGTAACACATCTTAGCAGACTCCACTGCAAGTTGTACTTAGTGTTTCCTCAACTTTTTAAAAAATATTCTTGCCTGTACTTGTTCCATGCAGACTATACATAGAGGTTAATTCTTCACTCACTTCAAACTTAGCATTGATTCCTCAAACAAGAGTCAAGGAAAATCACTCAAAATTGTCTTATTTTTTAATTGACTACTGCTGTTGCTCCCAATAGTCTCAATTCTTTGAGCAACTACTGTTCATGCCAAAAAGTTAAGTTTTTTTTTAAATTTTATTTATTTTTCATACAGCAGGTTCTTATTAGTTATCTATTTTACATATATTAGTGTATATATGTCAACCCAATCTCCCAATTCATCACACACACACACCTGCCACTTTCCCCCCCTGGTGTCCATGTTTGTTCTCTATATCTGTGTCTCTATTTCTGCCTTGCAAACCAGTTCATCTGTACCATATTTCTAGATTCCACATATATGCATTAATATACGATATTTGTTTTTCTCTTTCTGACTTACTTCACTCTGTATGACAGTCTCTAGATCCATCCACGTCTCTACAAATGACCCAATTTCGTTCCTTTTTATGGCTGAGTAATATTCCATTGTATATATGTACCACATCTTCTTTATCCATTTGGCTGTCGATGGGCATTTAGGTTGCTTCCATGACCTGGCTATTGTAAATAGTGCTGCAATGAACATTGGGGTGCATGTGTCTTTTTGAATTATGGTTTTCTCTGAGTATATGCCCAGTAGTGGGATTGCTGGGTTATATGGTAATGCTATTTTTAGTTTTTTAAGGAACCTCCATACTGTTCTCCATAGTGGCTGTTATCAATTTACATTCCCACCAACAGTGCAAGAGGGTTCCCTTTTCTCCACACCCTCTCCAGCATTTGTCGTTTGTAGATATTCTGATGATGCCCATTCTAACTGGTGTGAGGTGATACCTCATTATAGCTTTGATTTGCATTTCTCTAATAATTAGTGATCTTGGGTGGCTTTTCATGTGCTTCTTGGCCATCTGTGTCTTTGGAGAAATGTCTATTTAGGTCTTCTGTCCATTTTTGGATTGGGTTGTTTGTTTTTTTGATATTGAGTTGCATGAGCTGCTTGTATATTTTGAAGGTTAATCCTTTGCCCGTTGATTCATTTGCAAATATTTTCTCCCATTCTGAGGGTTGTCTTTTCATCTTATTTGTAGTTTCTTTTGCTGTGCAAAAGCCCAAAAAGCTAATAGTCTTAAGGAAGTTTTTCTCTCTGTACACATTTGCTTTGTTGCTGCAAACACCATCAGTGAATAGCTTTCCCTGCTTGACTAACAAGCCACTTGTAAACTTATGTAAGGTCATAACCTCATTTTCTTTTTTCATCTTTGTAAAGAAAATTCTGCTGTGGTGAGATATTCTATTTCAAATTTTCTGGGGTTTTCTAACTGTTGCTTTCCTGTGAGTTGGGAATGTTATGGCAAGTGTTTATTCTAGTAATGTCAATGCACATTGTACTCTTTCAGCACAGCTACAGTGTAAATGCATAATAACACAATGCCCTGCCCTCTAACTTGATGAAATAATCCACACTTCACTGTGCCTGAAAGTAACAACATTCAGTTTCACTTTTCTTTTCCTTTTTTGTTCTGACATGATGGGCATGCACTGGCAATGGAAAAAAAAATAATAAAATTCTGTGGTATGGTGATACACATGGAATGCTATTGTGTTGTAACTGTGTCACTGTGATTTCTAGTGTGCTGAGCAGCAGTGTGAAGCAATAACAATGCCATGTATGATTTTTGTCACAGGTACTCAACTCTTCAACTCGTGTTGTAGCATAAAAGTGGTCACAGACAATGAGCATAGCTATGTCCCAATAAAATTTTATTTATGGACACTGAAATCTGAACTTCATGTAATTTTCACGTCATGAAATATTATTTTTCTTTTGACTTTCTATAAATTATTTAAAAATATAAAAACCATTCATAGCTCATAAGCCATCCAAAAACAAATGGTAGGCCAGATCTGGCCTGTGGGCTGTAGATCTGGCCTGTGGGCTGTAGTTTACCAACCCCTACTCCAATGGAAATCCAGCTTCCCTGAGGACACTGCTTCCCCTGCAGTTCTACAGTGGTGCTCTTTACCCTCCACATGCTTTATACCAATGGCTCTGAAA